TTATTACATCAACTGATCTTTATAAATGAAAAAAAAAACAAAAAACAAACCCAACCATGTTAAAAGTCCTCGTTGGTATTAGTAATGAAAGTGAGTCTGTGAAATAGTAAAATTCCTCCTACATGATAAAGTGAATAAAAGTACATTTTTTAATGCCTTATCTGAATTTCATCTGAATATAATGCTAGATTTTCTTCTGTCATTGTATAAGATGATGTTTCGAGTGGGTGAACTTTGGAAGAATTTTAAAATCATCTAGTATGACTTTTATCTGTGTTAAATAAATTAAAATCTCTAAATATAATATATAAAGCTTCTGTTGTTTGGGATTCTAGCAGTAGGTTGTATGGCCATGTACAATCACTGGCATGTGGTCTTGTCCTTACTTAAGAGGCCTCATGGCCACGTAAGACAGCTTCACACAAATTCTGCATATTGATGTACCCTGTGCCAGTTTTCAACAAAATTTGGGATGTGGATTTCAAAACTCATTTGTGGGCAGAATTAATTATCAGAACCTGGTTGGTGTCAAATAGAAAAGCATTTAAGTCTGCATGGAGAGTCAGACAGTTTTATTTTTTGATCTACTGCTTTCTTAATATTGTCAGATTTTATTTCATGTATGTCAAAGCGATGGCAGTTTACGCACTGGTTCACTCTGTTTTTTGCTAGGCAGGGTTTTCACTTTCAGTGTTTTAAATAAATAAATTATTTCATTAAAATATTTTGAAGAATCATAACTGTAAACTGCTTTTAATTTTGTCCTACAGATCATAGTATCAGTCTAGAGTCTATGGAAGTGACAGTAAATGCTGTGGCTGGGGCTCTTAAAGCATTTTTTGCAGATCTGCCAGATCCATTAATTCCTTACTCTTTGCATCAAGATTTGTTAGAAGCATCAAGTAAGTAAAAAGAATATTGTCTTGATTGTATTTTTTCACAGTGTTTATCGTTATAGGAGTTTTTAATTCGCTGTAAGTTAAAAAGGCTTGCTGCGCTTATTTTTTTAATTGCTGAGGTGTGCCATTTTTTAAAATGTTCTTTAAAATTAACAATTATATGATGACAACAGAATTATATGATTACATTAGTTATTGTAAATAAATTGTAGTCTATTACTTCTCTATGTAGGAAATTTAATTGGAGGAATCTCTTTTTTTTCCTGTTATTAGCACTGCAATATTAGCACTTGGAAATGTATCATAGTTGTTTACAGGGGTAGAAGAAAGCATACCTTGATTTCATAAAGTCTTACATTCAGAATAGGCTTTAGAAGTTGCATCTCTCTGGAGTGTTATGGTGAATCTGACATTTTTTTTCAAATTATTTTTGAACTGTGTGCAGGATGAAAAGGTTAATTGTGTTTACAAATGTTTCAAACTTGGAAATGTGACTACATTGTTCCCCTTTTAAAGAATATCTTTCTTGGGATTAATTTGGGCAATTGGACTGGCAGCAAACTGTTTTAGGAAAGTACTACACATTTTTTGCTATGTTTTTTTTTTTAATTGAAAATTTGTCAATATTGCTGAAAGCCTAAGGCTTCAACCTAGGCTTGGTTAGTGTATATTACACTAGAAATTTTGTATTTTTGGATGACATCTATAGACATGTTTTTTGATATTTTCACTTTAATTTTCAGGCAAATCCCTTGTATAGTGTGTTTTTTTCTTACCAATTTATGATTTTCCAAGCTGAGTGGGACAAGTGGGACAGGCTTTTGATTAGGTATTACTAATAAACTATGTATTGCTGTAGCATACTAGGCTTAATAAGAATTCAAGTCTTTCTATTGAAACAAACCTTTCTACACAGTAGAATATGGCAAAAATGTGAATACGTGTAACAACAGCTTAAGAAAAATGATGTTGAGAGTGGAAACTAGAGTTCTTTAATGCTTGAATAATTGTTTGTATAGTATGGATTTCATCTAATTCTCACACCAGTGTTAGCAATTTTATTGCAAGAGGGTCATTGTCCCCAACTTTTCCACTGTAAAACTGTATTCTGGAATTCCGTTTATATTGACAGATCCTGAGGCAACTGAGCCCAACTGCAAGTTTATTTCAAATTTTAAGCCAGTGTCAGCTGCTTGCTGTATGTAATTTGATGTCACAAGTAGCACTAATTTGTTATACATTTCTATAATCTGTTATTTTTTTTTCTTAGTCCTTTTCCTATTGCTTACTTCCTCTTAAAATATAAATAATATCCATTGAACCTGTGAAAATTTGTGTTAAAGTAGCTGCACCAGGCTTACAATAATTTTTTATTATTTGACTAGTAAGCTTAAGATTTTATAAGCTCATGAAAATGTCTTTCATCCCCCAAAACTTTGAAACTATAATATGTATAAATCTTGTGTTAAGAACATTTTGCAAGCAATGAAAAATCTTACAGATTTCCCTGTCTCGTTGTTAGCCGTATACAAGCCAACAAGTTGATCAAGATGGTCTGTTAAGAAGATGTTAAATAGAAATAAATAATTCTATCTTAAAACAGGAAAACATTTTTTGTATTTAGATAGTTTCCACTTTATTATGAAAAGGTAATTCTTTGTAATAATACATGTAAATAGGAATTTTATGGAGTATTTTCTCGCCTTCTGTTTCTGTGTAGATATCTGTGCTTCTTATGGTTGGAAAAAGACTTAGCAACACTTTATTCAGTATTTCTTTCTAAATGTATGAGAAAATGTCGCTTATTTCTATAGAGATCCTGGACAAGACAGAACGGCTACATGAGTTAAAAGAAATTGTGAAGAAGTTCCACCCAGTGAACTATGATGTCTTCAAATATGTGATAACACATCTGAACAGGTTCAGTACTTTTCTACTAAAATTCTGTTTAATTTTTAACATAAAAAAACCCAACCTATTAGAATTGAAAATGTCATGCTGCATTTCTCCTCTGTTAGTATAAATGTTGAAAATGGAAATTAAAAATTATGAATTAGATGTTGATATATTACGATACCTGATTTAAGTGATGCATAGATATCTACCATCATAGCTACTGTAGAGATGTAAAAATGATTGTTGTACAGAACAAGATAACTTCACAGAGCCAGTATGTACAAGAGTTGCAGACCTCTTTTCTAAGGAAGCAGCTGTTAATGTTGTAGTCTAATTCAGATTTAAGGGAACATGGAGGTTATTTGGCCTATTCCCTGCCTATTAAAGGAAGATCAGCTTCATTCCTCTAAAATGTAGCACACAGAACCTCTGCTGAATAATTAAAATGTAGAATAAAACTGTGTGTAGCAGTGAATTTGCTTCCTAAATCTTGCCTCTTGCATAGAAATGTAATTTTTTGTGTTCTTAAGTTTAATTTATTGACCTTTTATTTGTCCAAGTGTACAATATTTGCTCATAAAAAGTTTAGCTTGCTCATGTTTCTTACTCAGCAAAACTCTAGTGGATTCCCTGAAATCCACTCAGTAAGATGGCTAATAACATAATTAAAAGACATAATAAACGTTTAGTCACAGCTAAAATAACAGTTTTCCTAGAAAAATGTTTGTTTCACAGTACTGGACTATAAAAAATAAGCTCATTATTTTTTTAAAAAAATATTTTTATTAATTCTTCTTTTTTTTAAAGACAGAACAGCAGAATTGTTGAGATTGTAAGGGGCTTCTCAAGATTTAGTGCACCCCTCTTGCTTTGGTAGGATCTGCAATAACAGATTGCCTGGGATGATGTGCAGTTGGATTTTGAGTATCTCTAACAATGGAGACTCCACAACCTCTCTAGGCAACTTCCTAGTGTGCAATCACCCTGACAGTAAATACATTTTTAAAAAGTGGAGCTTATTTTGTTTGTTTTAAAATGTGTTTTTTATGTTCAGACAGAATCTCATGTGTTTCAGTTTCTATCTTGTTGTATACTGTCAAGTGACATACTGTCACTTCCTCTACAGTGGTGTTTTTCAGCCAGCTGAATAATTTTCTATATATACTGTAGGCTTTTCATGATCTTCAAATTGCTCTGCAGGTGTTTTTAACAGTCTAATTTGGGGCTTCTAGTATAGGGAGTTGAAATGAGACTTTTTAAACTCCCTGTTTAGTCAGCAAAATCAGACTTCTCTTTTATGCATTCTCCATTGCTGTGTGGAAGGAGTCTTCTTATTCTGGGTCATAACAACCCCATGCAGCAATATCAATGGGGAAGAGAAGCTGAAAATTTGCCTGGCAGAAAAGGACCTAGAGGTGTGAGTTTAACAATCAGCTGAAAATGAGCCATCAGTGAGCCCAGGTGGTCAGAGCGACCAATGGCCATGAAAATTGTTTGGTCAGCAGGACCAGAGAAGTGATCGTCCTTCTGTGTTTGGCACTGGTCAGACTGTACCTCAGGTATTGTGTTTGGTTTGGGGCCCCTTGCTGTGAGAATGACATCAAGGTGCTGGAGCATGTTCAGAAGAAAACACTGAAGCTGGTGAATGGACTGAGATTGCACCAAGGAAGTTGTTGGTTTCTGTTCTCAGGTGATAAGAGGTAGAATGCAGGGCAAAGGCCTCGAGTTAGGCCAGAGGAGGTTTAGATTGGATGTCAGTAAGAATGTTTTCACAGAAAAGGTGGTTAGGAATTGGAATGGTCTGGTCAGGGAAGTGATGAAGTCTGCATCCCTAGAGGTGTTGTAAGAGATCTGTGATGAGGTACTTAAGGACATGGTTTAGCAGTAGACTAGTAGTGTTAGGTGGATTGGTGTATTTGATGATCTTGAAGGTCTTTTCCAACATAAATGATTCTATTTTCATTAAATATATGGGAAGCTTTGAAACTTAAGCACTTACTTTTACACTCCTCTCAATCACAAATATAGTTTGCATTTTCCTTTGCAGGGAAATGCATCAGTTTTCTTTTTTTTTTTAGTGCAGTTTGCCAAGTAAAATTCAATTTTCTAGCCCTAGAATAGAATCATGTGAGTGGATAGAACTATTTCTTGCATTTCTATATTGCAGGCTAACAATGTACTGAGGTAAAATGAAACATCACAAACTTCATGTAAATCACTTTTAATGTTTTGGCAGTTCTTAATGGACTAGATTCCTTGAATTCAGTAGAAGAGTATCAATCTCAGAATTGTCAGAAGTCTTCAGCTGGCCATCCATTTGCATAACGCAGAGGAGAGTAACAAAAATCTAACTGCAGTGTCAAGTACCTGGATTGCTGCAAGTAAAAGAGCTAAATACAATTTTTAATGATCCTAAGTAGATTCCTAATGCATGTATGTATACAGACAAATGAAATACATAATTCACAAAGCTTACTGGAGAACAGAAATAGTGCTTGTTGGCCGTTGCTCTGAAGTCCATTCTCATCCTTTTACAGGTACACAGAAGAATTTATATAGGAAGAAAAAGTTGAATAAAAGTGCTGAGTCAAATGAAAGCTTTTAGTTTTTTTTATTCTCCTTGAATGAAATTAAAATGTTACTCTTTTAGGAAAGTATGAATATCACCTTCATTCAGGAGTAGTGTCCAAATACCCCATGGACAAAATTTATTCAGGTTGAGAGAGGCAGTATTTATGTACCCTTACTAATACACATACTAAAATGCAAGTCAATCTTTTATAGTTAACACTGTACATCATAAATGAGTGAGAATATTTTCTTCTGGCAATAATTGTAGGACTTATTATGGTTTTCACAAGTTTTGAATCTATGAAGTGTAATCAGAAACTCTTGCAGTCTGCTCGTGCTGATCATCAGAACAGTAGTTGATGAGTTGCACAAGTTTTTTTTGCATTCTATTTCTGCACAACTGTATCTCAGTTACCTTTGTTCTTCCTACTATATCATAGGAATTGCATATTCTTGAGTATTTTAAGTGTTAGATTTATCAGCACAGAGTTTTTGATGGATCTCTCACTAATTACTGCTAGATAAAATTGTAGTGTTACTTTAGAATGAAGAATATTTTTTGAAAACAGAATATCTTGATTCTGGTTTATTATGAATAAGATTGCATTTTTCTGAGGAAACATTTGGTTGTAGATGATATATTGAGTAAAAGGTTTTTTCTTTCTTGCCAATACTGTTGTAATAATGAATTTGCAGTGAAACTGAAAAACCTGTTTCAGTCCCTGCTTAAATCAGAAAACTTGAAAAAAAAAGAACCCAATTGGGAATCTTTTTTTTTTTTTTTAATACATTGAAAACTAAAACAAAAATTTACTTGTCTTTAATTACATTGTGATACTATATAGGGAGAATAAGGAAGCACAGGTACAAGTAGAATGTTGATGGAAAACTAATTTGTGGAAAAATGCATGTAGAAAAGTTTAGCATTTTTAAGTTCAGCATTTTTAATAACAGTCATAGGAGTTCACACACAATGACTCTTAAGAAAAAAGAACGAAGAAAACATAGTTCTGTTTTGAAGTTATGCTAAATATGTTGGCAGTGTTCATAGATTCAGTTATAGGAAATGATCACCTGGATCATTGTCATGATCCTATGGATTGATTTCATGTTTAACAGAGAATGTACAGAATTTTGAAGAGAATATCTTCTGCAGCATATCATTCAAGTTTAATGACTTTATTGAAGCAGCAAAGTTTTCATTTGGAGTGGTATGTCTTTCTTGCAGATAGTTTTTACCTGAAGCTTTTGCAAAGTTTCCATAGCTCCTGTTATACTACTGTCTTCTGCCTGAGCAAAGTTCATGTTGAAAGCAGTCAAGCCATCATGCTTACAAATATGTTTCTGTGCTCCTTGCACAGAATATGATACTTAAATATTCTTTGGGTTAGAGAGAATGGATGGATTTGTGTTCTAGTAGGCAGGTAGTCTTATTAATCATTAGTATCACATTATTTTTATAACTTCATTGTGTTTAATAACACTGGCAATACTAAAAACATATGTTTTGAGTTGTCTACTTTCTTTCCAATAGCCCACAAATGAAACAAGCATTCTCTTCTTAAGATGTTTGAAGTATTTTGCACGTTTGTTTTGGTGCAAGAAATGATAAAAATGAAACTTACCGGATGTTGTTTTATTCCTGTTGTTCATACAGTCCTGACCTATAGAAATGCATTTAGCAAATCCATTCCTTGCAGAAAGATAGAATTTCCAAAGCTAGGCTCATTTTTTTTCCTGAACGTCTTCCTATGAAAATAATGCTTACAAAGTTTGTAGAATCAGTTAGGTTAGAAAAAGCCTTCAAGATGTTCATTTGGGAGCTATAGCTCATGAGAGTAATCTCGTACCTGTGTTGTAACTCGAGAATTCCTTTGTTTCTATGGCTCAGTGTGGCTTTTAGCTTGATGCATCTTCTTTTGGGGATCTTATATTTTCTCTTCTGCAAATGGTGTCAGTTCTTTCCGAAGTTAGCTGTTCTCCATCCTATAACAGGGTAACATACTGTTACCAGGCTTTTGGATTTGGGTCTTTTATTTGGTTTTGTACTTATTTATGTGGTCACTTTGATTAGTTGATTGGCTTTTTTTTTTTTTCTTGTGTGTGTGTGATATAAAACAATTAGACTTGATTCCAGGGAATCTAGAGAATCAGGTTGCCCTCAAAATGTTATTTGCTGAATTCTTTTTCTTGACATATTTGTTAGTAATGCGCTCAGGAACTGATTTCTTTGGCACTGTTGAATAGAACCCTATTTAAAAGTTTTTTATTTTACACTCTTTTAGTTTATATAGACTGTCTTGACATCCAATAATATTTTTTGTTTGTTTTTTTTTGTTTTATAATTCCAGTGTTTATGATACTAGTCTAGTGGATAAACCCATGGATTAATTGGCATAGAGACACAGTAACAACCTGCCAGTTCTTTTATTGTCTGATTTCCACCCCCTCCCATTCAGTTGGTCCAGTTAAGTTCTGGAAATCTGGAACTGAGGTTGAATGCATTTAATGTATTAAAATGGTAAAATCAAGAAAACAAAGAAAAAAGCTCCACCTGTTTTGGTAGGATAGTGTTCTGCTGTTTCACTAAACAGATTGGCTCGCAGAAGAGTGTGACAAGTGCCAAACATAGCAAATAGAAGGAGAGAAGCATGAACTTCTCTGTATGTGATGGTGAGAGAGAATAGGAAAAGAATGTCTCCTTTTGATGGTGATGCACAGAATTGAGTTAATTTTGTTTTGTTTTTTTTTTTTTTTTTTTTCAGAATGGTTCCCCAGGTCTTGTATTGGCAAATCAGCATTCTAATAGGAAATGATTTTTTTTTTTAAAATTAAAATTATGTTGGTTAATCTTAAGTAGATGGACTACTGTCTTTTAATTGCTTTACATTTTCTAAGAGTTCAGTAGTTTGTATATTTAAGTGTTTTACTTTTAAAAACTCAAATCCAGCCTTGTTTAAAAACTTACGTGAATATGAAGAACAAAATTCATACGGGCTAATATTAATACTTAAAAGTCTCAATCATAACATGTAAAAAATATTTCCAGGTGACTTGTTTTGCTTTGCTGCTCACAGTTAATAAATATGGTATTCATAAAATTTTCCTGATCAGAGTTTTGTCACAGTTGCAGCAGTTGCTGCTAGCATGTTAGATAGATAACCTATCTCATACTAATTTAGCATCTTGTAAATACAGCAAGTGCCTACAACAAGAAAATGAACATAGAAATAAAAGCTAGCTCATTGATTAGGCATTGCTTTGGGAGATTACTGCAGTAATTGCTGGAGTTGCAGTGTTATCTGCTTAGATCATCCAAGGAAAATAGGGATCTTGGAGCAGTGTGACATGATAATTCATAGTTTTATATGTGTTAAATTCCAAATGAAGTAGGGTAGGAGAAAGAGAATTATAGAAGCAGAAGGAAAAAGTCTCTTTCCAAAATCGGAGTCTCTAATGGCGAAGAATTTCCAAGTTAGTACAGAGGTTGAAGCATAAAGCTGGATATACACCTGTTCCTTCTGCTTCTTTTGCACAACCTTAGGACGCTTCTGACTGCACATCTACCATGAGAAAAAATAACATGGTAACAAAATAGTATGAAATGATTGTATAACCAAGATGTTATAATTTTGTATAACCAAGATGTTATAATTGCAATATAATCAAGAGAGTAAGGCAAAGCAGACAACAATCACAAAAGAGAATAAGTGGAAGAGCTTACCCTTGGGTTGAGCTCACCAGAAGATACCAAAAGAGGGGATCTCCAGAAGAGATCCTTCCCCTCTGGTAGCCAGCTCTTAAATAGGTCCAGGAGGGGTGGAGCCAGGCTCCAGCCCTTCCTGCAGCACAGGTGAATTGCCTTCAGCTGTGCTCCTCTGGCTGACTCATGGCTCACCTCAGGTGATCAATCAGAGGTTCAAGCCGTGACTCAGCAGTTCCCATACAAATGATAAAATAAATTTTCTTCCTCAAGGTTGTGATTTATTAAAATACAGTATAAATTTTGCTGTATAGGTGGTATACAATAAACAATTTTATACAATTATTCTTATTTAGTAGTTGTTCTTATGTGCTGAACATTTGAATATCCACAGCCATTAAAGCACCCCATTTTTACAGCAGAGCCAAATGCTTTTGCTGGCTAATATGAAAAAGCCCACAGAGATGTACTTTAATCAACACTTGATATTTTTCGTTTGTTTTTAACATATGATCTAATCTGTTCCGTTTTTATTTGAGTACCATAAATGTTGTTCAGTGTCTGACTGTACTGCAGTAAGAAGCCAGTTCTGTCATTTGTCTAGACATTTTAATCGATTTTCTAACACATGAAATTCTGTGTCTGGTTGATGAATTTAAAGGCTGTTTATTATTATCACTTAAAAATGTTGGCATGTGTTTAAAGTCTTCTGGTTGATTGTGTACCATTTTTAATTCATTCTATGCCTGTCATTCTCATTTCAGGGTTAGTCAGCAGTATAAAACCAACTTTATGACTGCTGATAACTTATCAATTTGTTTCTGGCCTACTCTGATGAGACCTGATTTTGAAAACAGAGAGTTCCTTTCTACCACCAAAATCCACCAGTCGATTATAGAGACTTTCATTCAGCAGTGTCAGTTTTTCTTTTACAATGGAGAGATTGTAGAAGCACCGAACCCAGGGGCATGTCAGCCACCGCCTTCCAACACAGTGCAGATGGTGGAGCCAATGGTACCTCTGCAGTTACCACCACCACTGCAGCCTCAGCTGATACAGCCGCAATTACCAGCAGACCCTCTTGGTATTATATAAATAGAAGATGATTGCAGGCAGCCTGGCACTGGACAGTAAAGAAAAGCTATAGACATGCATGTTTCAGGATACAGTAATGTACTTCATATTTATGAAAAATAATTCTCATCCAGCTGGTTGGACATTTTTTTTGTTATATCCCGTACTGTGTTCCTCATTTGTACACGCTGCAGATAAAAACTATGTGGTAAGCATGACTGGAGAGGTTTAATTTTTAAAAGCAAAAATAGCTATAAAGTACAAAGCTGCTGCTGCATGATACTTTATTGCAATCACTATATCATTCCTGTGACAGTTTGTCACAATATATTGTGAATAAAATTTTTCTATAGAAATTTAATGATTAAAAAAATTACATTTATGAAACATTCAGTGCTTACAGCCTGCTTTATGGCTGTTTTTGTTATTTAACATGCTATTTTTGGCAATTTTATTCACATTCAAGCATTCTGTATAAACGACTAAAGCCCAGCTATAGTTTATTTTATAATCTCCGGCTACTTACGTGACTGTAGGCTTAGGATGGTTTATGGAAGAATGCAAAATGCACTGTTGAGAATTTTACAATGCCTCACCTTCCATCTTTATTTGTAAGTAAACCTGTGGACAGTTTGTTAAGGGTGGGTGAACTTGCTTATTATTTCTTACAGCACAATACCAAGGACATGCTTGTTGTAAAAGTGAGTTTCAAATATTGTACAAAAATTTTGATGTTGCCTACTTATTTCTTTATGTTCCATTCCTTAACTAAACATTTTGTAAAACTGTTAATTCTGTAAACAGCTGCATGTTTAAAAGATCATTGATGGTCTTGTAAACTTAATCTAATATATTTTAGATATTTTAATTTTTCCCACTTGGGAATACATTTAGTGTTTAGAAAATAGTTCATGACATTTTCATACAAGGTTATATAACTTTTCATACATAAACATGAACTTTGTTGTAGTAAAATTCTCTAAACCAAACAATGTTTTAATCTAGGACTTCAATTAATCTATTCTTTAAATCTATTTTTATGTGACCCTTCAAAGATATACAAAAATGCATTGCTAATAAATAGCAATAAATACTTTGGGTACTGACAATTAACTTCTTTGGAGTATGTATATATAAAATCACATAAACTTGTATTCATTTTTTTTTCCTGTGGTATGTTGTACTTAAAATTTGAATGACTGATTTTTTTTTGGTTTTGCACCATTTAAAAAAAAAATGTTCTCTTTTTTTTTTCCTCGTCTATTTTCCATTACATTGGTACCGATTTTGCTGTAAAAGAATGCTGCTTAATTTAAATTTCTGGTTAAATATTTTGTTAGTGGTAAAAATTTCAGAAGGTTACAAGTTGTAGCAAAGGGGAGACCATAAGTAATCACTATTTGTGAGACTTTTCATAGCAGCTTTTTTTCTTTCATGTTCAAAATACACCTTTTTAGATCTGCAAAGAAAAAACCAGTTTTGGCTCATTCAGCTGCTAGAATGTTTTGTGTAGTTTTAAAAAAGAAGCTTTATGATGGTCACTGCTGTAATCTTCACTTATGACAAGATTTAAGATCGTCTTGTATGTATTATAGTAAATAGCTGATTTTGAGTATTAAGGTTCTTAAGAGTTTGATTTGCTCCATTTGCATAAAATAAAAATTGCCTTTCCCACTTATGTCCTAGGTATTGTACTTCTAATTATGACTTGGATTATCATTCTAGATTACTATGATACCATAAACTCGGCTGCTGTTTCAAGTACATGTATATTATAAATTATCTTCATATTGTGTTATATTCTTGCAATTAATTATCTTTTTTAAGAAAAAAAAAAAAGTCAACCTTATTCCTATTGCAAAGCACACAGGAATTAATAGTACAATAAAGTCTGTCCTGTAAAGTGTAGTATTCTTAACTTGTTCTACATTACATCTGTTGCTTTTATTTATAGTTGTCAGTCTAACATTGGCATGTTTAGCAGAGAAAATGCAACTTCAAGTGTTTTATAAACTATTTCTAAGTTGCTAAAGAATTTATTTTTCTACTATGTATGGTATAGACAATGCATCACCTGTACAGGAAACAAGTCTATTTCTAATAGAAGTAAGCTTAAAAGTAAATGGCAGTCATATCCATATTTAAAAGTTCAATCTATAAAAATATCTCCAGGCTTTGTAATGTGAATTGCATTTTAAACTTTCTACGAATTCCAAGGTATTTGCCATACTGTTTATCTAATCTTTCAATACTAATTTTTAGAGTAGTCTACATTTCTTTCCATCGACTTTCACACCAAATTCTTGATCATTTTTATTGTATATGAAGTTACGTATAAATCACTTATTTCATAATTTCCTGAAAATTAACATGTACTTTTGGCCAGATATGAAAGTGCTCCTACATTTTCTTGATAAAACATTATTAAAAAAAAAAAAAGAGAAAAAAAGAGCACGGCATGTGACTCTGGATTATCACATGGCAGAGTTCCTGCATATTATTTGCATTATACAAGTATCATATGCAGGAATGTGGATGTGCGTGTATCTGGATAATATATACACTGATATTTTTGATGTGCTTGTGTGTTTATGTACACAAGGACATGTGCACAGACTTGCATGCACATACACTGTCTTAACAAAGTTTGGAGAAGATACTACAAAATAATACCATCGTGATTAAATATACTAAATAGAGCTTTCTCTGTTATTTTTGTTAGTGCTATAAAATGAGGAAGCATGTCATTATATACAAATTCCTCATACTTTGGCTCTGTGTAGTCCCTTCTAGTTTTAATGGAAATACAAACAATAATAATTATATTTTTTAATGTGAGCATTTTTACAGTAATATCTATCTTGGAAAAAAATACAAATGTATATTATTTTTTGTTGAGCATCTCAGTGACACTTTATGGAGTATTTTGTCTTTTTTATGTAACTTTGGCATAGGCATTTTGCAGTGTATTGTTTTTCAATATTTTAGCAGTTTTGAAGTACGACACGTGAGTTTAAAAAGTGCCATTCTAAGTAATGTTTAGCAGGTTATTTTAAAATTCCTTGCCCTCCAGAATATTGTGGAATTTTAACATAGTGTACATAGATTGCAGATGTCAATCTGAGTGAAAAGAAACTTCTTTTATTGTATGTTTTCTCCATTATTTGAGTACTGGTTGCTAGGAAATTATAGATACGCTTATTTTTAGTTGCTGGCAGTTAGCTTCTAATATTTATGGTAAATACAGACAAGTTATCAATTGGAGACCAAAAAGAAAAATTTGGCCTTACCTTCCATGCTTATCTCAGTTTTCCTCAGTAATGTGTTCATGTTTGTCAACTGAAAAAGAAAAAAAAAATTTTTTTAAGTACAAATTTTGTTCTTTGTTTATAATGTAATCTTTTGTTGCTACATCTACAGAATACTGCAGTGGATTTAATATCAGTGAAGCTTATTCTGTATAAAAGATGCAATGAATAAAATACTAAGATGCTTACTGTGTATAATGTTCAGTTTAGTTGCCTACTAAATTTTTAAAGGCAAATCACCCAATTATCTCCTTCACATACACAGAGATGAAATGTAGCATTAAATTGTGCAAAACTGAATGCATCAAATGTTTAAGGAATTCCTTGAGGGAGGGAGGTGGGATGGGGAAGGAGTTTGCCTTTATGAGTCTCTTCTTTTAAACTGCAGAATTTTGCAAGTTATTTACCCAGTGATTAATGTGCTGTGCCTCTTTCTGTAGGTAATGTACCCCTCTTTCATGCTGAATACATGCAGACCTCAAAAGAAACATGATGGAAGATGTTCTGTTTAGCTGCGTAATGCATGTTTTATTCTGTGGCTCGTGTGATCTTTCACATTTTTCTCTTGATTGATCTGCTCAGCAAGAAAGGCTGTGATTATGGAAATCAGTTTTTCAGATTTCTACCAAGCTAGATGAATGGTTGAAAAATGAAAACACTATTTTACAATTGCTCTTTTC